CTCAGAGCCTGCAGTGCAAGAGACTGCTTCAAGGGCCAAAGGACTCCAGCTGAGCTTTGGCCGCCAACCAAAGCTCTTACAGTGTCTCAGATGCGAGCCACCAGGACAAAGGAGGTCCAGAGCATCAAGTTCCAAGATCCAGCCAGGACTTGCATGTCGTCATGTTGCAGCCTTACAGTGGCATACCTGCTGTACCAGTCAGGACACAGACAGCTTACCGGAGACGAAGCAGCCTCAGAAGTAACAACAGAACCTGAGGATAGCCCAGAAACCATTCGCATTGAGAAAGCAGAGAAGGATTGGGCAGAGAGGCAGAAGAAGAAACGAAAGGCTGCTGCACCTCACTCAAGCTCAGACTGTGAAGAGACTGGCCAGCCCAATCCCGGCTTCAGAAGTTCATGCTGCACTGATTTCCTGAGCTACGTGCTCGGCAATGTCCTCTCCACTGCAGAGCTGCGGAAGTTGAGATCCAGAGAAGTACATTTTGCAGAATTCTGTGCTGGAATGGGTACCGGTTCCCAGTCATTGGTTGCTCGTTTTGCATCGTCGCTGTGTGTTTAGTTGCAGATGCTCTTCGTCTTTGATGTATGTTGCAGCTTGACCCGAGGAGATTCTGCGCAAAGTTTTGCAGCAGGATCATGATGTATCGGTCATCCCAAAACCTTGTTTTTACACCGAGCTTGTCAAGTGGAAGCGCGATGTGCTGCAGAATATGTTGGCAGCACAGGGGCACGAGTGGGAACACATTCCCGAATCTTGGCAGGATGTGGGATGCTCTTTAGGGCTCTTGGTTGATTTGCAAAGTTCACCAATCACGAGCAGGGTGATATGATTATTGTCAGATGGTTAGTGGCCTACCAAGGTGTATGGGGCCACATCCGAACTGCAGGCAGTGCCCAGAGAATCCATGCCAGCACTTTCCCTGGCCATTGTCGGTGTGGAGTGTGATGATATCTCGTGCCAGACATCTTCGCCGAAAAGCATTCTAGATGCTAAGGGGCACAGTGGAAGCAGCTTTCTTCAATTCCTTGAGTTCATCCAACGCTTGGAATGGTCCCAGAGACCAGTTGGCATCATGTGGGAATGTGTGAAAAACTTGGACGCTCACAGGAAGACTGTGAATGAAAAGGGGACAGAAGTCATCAAGGACCTCATGCGCAAGCAGGGGTATGTGTCGAGCTTCCAGGCAGCTTTTCCAGAATCATTTGTGCAACAAGTTGAGGCTTGCAGCTCATGTTTGCTTCAGTGGCCTGCCCTTGAGGTGGTCAACTCGAAACATTTTGCTTTGCCACATAGCAGGAACAGGGTCTATGGAATCAGCTTGAAATTGGACCTGGCGGCAACTTGGCCTGCAGAATGCAAATCAATGAAACAGGCCAGCTTGTTCTTTCATTGACCACCTTGAGATCCCAGGCTCCGGGGGCTGAGCGGAAAGCTGGAGAGAAGCTCTCGTCAGCGTGGCGACTAGTCAGACGGTGTCAAGTGCAATGGCACGAGCCTTTGGTGGATTTGTGGCAGAGAGCTACTGATAAGCAAGCAGCCTAGCTGAACAAGCATATTGCTTGGGCAGTCAGTGTGGGATACATGTTTCTGTTCCAATTTGCTAGTGTGCAGGAACTTCGGAAACGACAGATGGCAACCGGCAGGGCAGCATCTTCTCAGAAATGGCCTGCAGACCATGCAGCTCACAAGGAGAAGCACAACATCACAGAAAAGGATCTACAAGTTCCACAGGTCAGATGGGTGCATCAGTGTTCCGGCCTCAGCATTCGGGTGGTTCTTGAACCTCAGATTGAAGGCCTTCTGCTTGCACAAGGCTTGCAGGAGCTGGATTTGCCAGAAAGAGAATTGGAAGCAACCCATCTGTCCTTTGCCAAGCTGCGCAAGACATGGGGCCATGAATCTTGCTCTGCAAAAGGTTGTAAACCATTCGGTGTCAATGTATGACCTCCTTGACTGGTCCGGTGTGACAAACCAAGGACATCGACCAGTCTCTCCTGCGTCTTGCATTCATTTTGGCAGCTTGAAGGGGTTGCTGATCGCTGGGTGAAGTTGACATATAGTTGGCAGCAGCGGCCCAGGTTCGTCGTCCCCAGCGGAGACACTTTGCAACGACACAAATGGAGAACAGTGCACCCATGCCTTCTTCCGCAGAAGCGGTTTTTTTACTTGGACGAGAATAGGCTGCACCTGAACAAGTCTCCGACGTTTGTGATGAGCCTGCAAGGCCTGTCAAGCCGTGAGCTCAAAGCGGCAGGCCTGACAGATCTTACAGTCAAGCAGGCCCAAGAGCTCGCTGGCAATGGTTTCACAGCCAATGTGGCTGCCAGTGTATTGGTTTCCATTCTGGTGCACATCCTGCAATAGCCAATCAGCTGCTTTGAGTTGCTGTTCAATCCGGAAAAGCAGAGCCATTGCAATTGCAAGTGTGCCGAATGCTAAACGCAGAGCTTACACAGGATCAAGGGTCTACAGATCACATCTTCGTGAAGCAAAACTGAAGAGACCTTGTCGGAATCACCAGTCAGAGGGAATCGAGAGGCACTAGGCAAATGAACTAATGTTCCTCAGAACGTGCATTTTCGATACAGGCTGCAGCGGCGGCATGCTTCAGTTGGACCAGGTGCGTACAGCTTGCTTTGAGAGCAGCATTGTTTGATTGAAGAAAGCAGGAATGGAGATTGTTCACGAGCATGTCCACTGCTTGCTGCCTGTGCAGCTTCGTTTCTCAAGCAGTGCACAGCAGGAGCCTGATAGACATGAACCCGTTTAGCCCCACAGTGGTCCAAAATTGCGAGTGTGAAAAGATGACGCACCACAGAATCCACTTACCCGAGCCTCAACCCGAAGACCTAAACCCTATAAATCCACCAGGACTTGCCGAAGGAAAGTAGAATGCTAGGAGCATGAACTTACTCCTCATGAGTCCTATCGGAGACACCGGTAGCCATGATGAGTTTCGCAAACAAGTTCTCTGCATCTTTGCAGACATGCCGGAAGCTGCAGAAGCAATGCTTACATTGCAAGCACAGAGCCTTCTCGGCATGATAAGAAGTGAAGCTTTCCATGCCCCACACACACACCGCAACTACCCTGCACTCATTGAGGCTGCTACGAGAAGGCGGCCCCTTATGTGAACGAGCTACAAAAGTACTCGACCCAGCTTCATCAGCTTGATCGGGCTGCAGCCGACCGAGACATCCTCTGGATTTTTAGCAGGTCTGCAATGGTATCAGACCGCGAAGAGAAGCAGAGCAATAAGAGGAAGCTGCAGTCCTCCTCGGCTGTCAGAATGGCGAAGAGAAGGAGAAGGAGCTCCTCCACCAGCCCTGCACCTCATGAATGTGAGAGGAAGGTGCAGTCCTCCTCGGCTGTCAGAATGGCGAAGAGAAGGAGAAGGAGCTCCTCCACCAGCCCTGCACCTCATGAACATGAGAGGGAGGTGCAGTCCTCCTCAGCTGTCAGAGTGGCGAAGAAACGGAGAAGGAGCTCCTCCACAAGCTCTGCACCTCATGAAAATGTGGGCCCAGATGAGGTGACCAGTGATCCAGAAGGTACTTCTGAGCCCGGCCATGCAGATCAGGCTTGCGAATCAACTTCTGAGCCCGAATCTGATGAGTTGGACCTGCAGTCCAGCGAGGACGGCAAGCCTTCGAAGCCCCAGAAGAGGAAGCACTACAAAACAAGGATTGCTACCAAGAGGCCCTCTGTACAACTGGCAGGCATCGTCCCTGCAGATGACTTGAAAGTTTGCCTGAAGAGTGCATATGCCTTTCTTCGTGCAGCTCATCTGGAGTGTGAGTTTCCCTGCTTAGCTTTGCCCAGGTTAGGGATACATGTCTTGATAGTCCGAGCCCTGAGCCCAGGTGGGTGCATCTCGGGTACACAGAGTTGCCAGGACTGCAACATGCAAGACGTTTGTTAGCTTCATTGACTCCTTTGTTGCTGGGCCACTTCACTGAGATCACAAGGTATTGCAAGGGCAGCCAGACAGGCGCCGTGAGGCAAACTCCATTCGGTCGAAGAACCCGGCCAGCTCTCCCATGCTGCGGGTTTGCAAGCTCTTTTTGTGGCATCGGTACCAGTTCGATGCTGAAGGCATGCCAGACAAATTCAGATTCGAGACAAGCTCTGTTGGCAGCCACAGGACTACAATAGTGCATTCGTCCCTCCTTCCAACAGCTTCAGTTTGTTGTTTTTGTAATGTGACATGCTTGTAATCAAGCTTGAGTGTGGCGATGTGCTGCAGTTCTGAAGGCAGCAGCAATCGGCAGCGAGAAGTGGGTCGTCCTCCTCTTCGGATGTGGATGCTGCTGAAGATGCTGAAGCTCGTGCAGTGGCATCGTGCTCGCTTCAGTGCTGCTGTTTACTGGAAGCGCCTGAAAAGGTGCTGACCGGTCCAGGTGTCGGTGCAGGTGCAAGACGGTACCTGGGTGTGGCGCGGCCATCGATGATGTTCCTCTGGCTGCAGCAGTGGGCAAGGGAAAACAGTCACCCTGTGCCATCGTTCACAACATTCTGCCGAGCAGTCCGAGAGTGCCGTGGGTGGTTGAAGTTCAGAAAGAATGCTGGTGAACATGCGGTCTGTGACACTTGCTGGCTGCCGGGCTGCACTGCTGGCTCGGTTCATGTCCTGCCTATTGCTGTGTCAGTTCATGTCCTGCCTATCGACCAGCGACCTCAGGAGCTTCAAGCAAAGGCTCCGGCAGCATCTCAGTCCGGCTGAGAGGCAACAGCGGCTGGGCAGCCCAAAACAGACATGAGAACCCAAGTCCCAAAATGTGACGAGTAACTTCGGTCCTGACCAAGGACCCTGGATGATTACATCAGGCACCTCATGCTACAATGGCAGGATCGGGAGGCTGATCTGCGATGGGCAGCTCTTAGTGTTCAGCTACGAACAAGTTTGAGTTCCTCGTCTTGCCATGCATGGGTTGCTGCTTTTTTGTGTACAACACTAAGCACACTTCGGTTTTCTTGCCCAGCTTTGCAAGAAAGGAATGGGGGTCCGACTCCGGGACATCCAGCGGTCCCTGAGTGTAGTCTTGATCAGGGCCGACGGCCTGGACCAGGCAAAGCACAAGTGCCCAAGGTCTATGACGAAGACTCATGGCTTTGAAGCCCTGCTGCGTCCAAGCTTGTCAGTGCTCATGCTTTGGGCCCAGGGCCATGCGCTGGCGTTTGAGATCAAGGATGCAGATGTCTACAAGAATACAAATTCCAATGTGGAGGGAATTTCTCGGCTTCTCGACAAAGTCTACAACAACTGCAATCAAGCACTTCCTGTCCACATCTGCATCGTACAGGACAACTGCAGTCGGGACTGCAAAAACGGTCTCCTCCTGTCCTGGTGTGTCAAGCTCCATTTGCTGCAGGTGTGTGAGAGGATAAGCCTGCAATATCCCAGCAAGGGGCACACTCACGGGCCACTTGATGGGCTCGGAGGGCAGGCTGTCACCAAATGCAGTGCCTGCGAGTTCTCCGATGCTGACAGTTTGGTGGGGATCTACGATGGGTTCCTGCAGCAGTCCACTGTGGATGGGGGAGCAAGCTTCAGAGGTGCCTGGAAGGGCAACTCGGCAGCTTAACTCAGAGGATTTTTGGATCTGTTTTGTGTCCTCAGTTGAAGTAGCAGCCAGGAATGGTTTGATCGCAAGGCGATGAGCAAGCCAACTGGCAGAGCTGGTGGGAGGAGGTCGGTTTGGTCTTCTCCAACCTGACAGGCCCGAAGGCCCCCCATTCGCTACTCGAGCTGCATGGAACCTCTTTTCTGCTGGAACAATTTGTTGCACCGGAGCAGCAGACCCTAAACCCGAAAGTGTCGGAAGCAAGGTTCGAGATCACGACCTTGAAAGATCTCGGCTACCTGCAAGTGCCTGTGACAACATGGCCAGGTTCCCCACCGTCCCATCCTGATGATGTAGTTTGTGTGGTGCGCCAGCGAATGGCTTCACGGAGGCATTTTCAAGTCTGTCTTCTGGTACCTGGGACAGAGGTTCCGGCGCTGCGAGCCAGATTGTCAAGGCAGCCGTCAGGTGTTTACCCGCGAAAAGCTGTGAAGGACCGGGACAAAGTGGTTGCGAAAGCATTGCAGGCTCACCGAGAAGGGTGCATCAATGCCGCTGTGCTGTAAACTCTAAGTAATTGATTTTCTTTGCTTCTGGCACTGGTCTGCCAAGTTCTTCGGGAAGCCAAGGATGCTGCTCGTGATTTCTTGGTCGGCTGGGCCAAGGGCACTTTGAGACGACACCCGCGACCTGCCCAGTATGAGTTCTTGAACCACAACAGGCCATCTCAAGAAGGGATTTGAGTCATTCCTGTTCATTTTGTAAAGCAAGAGTTTGCTGCAGCATGCAGATGAGCTGTGAATTGAGTGTGGGTTTGCGGCTTAAACTGCCCTGACAAGGCATGCGTTTGATGCTCTTGCTCCTGCAGCTGCAAGGGCTCCACTGGCACCAGAAGAGTACCGGCCGATACATGTGCAGGCAGATGGAGGAGGCAACTTGCCCCCAGGGCCTGAGGACGATGAAGCAGACGAGCTGCCGGAGTAAAAGTGTCACAGCACAGGCCTACATAAAGGGTTGCATCACTATTAAACCGAAGGGCACTTGACTGCATGTTGTGACAGGCCTGATGTGATCCCTTAACCAGAACATGCCTTGGGATGTCATGCATGATGCGACCCCTAAACCAATAAAACATAACATGGTATGGGATGACATGTGTGATGCGACCCCTAAACCCCTAAACCACAACATGGCATGGCATGTTATGCATTATGTCACCCTAAGCCCCTAAAACAGAACATGACATGACATGCCTGATGTGACATGACTCACTAGCCCTAAACCATGTATGATGCGACCCCTAAACCAATAAAACATAACATGGTATGGGATGACATGTGTGATGCGACCCCTAAACCCCTAAACCACAACATGGCATGGCATGTTATGCATTATGTCACCCTAAGCCCCTAAAACAGAACATGACATGACATGCCTGATGTAACATGACTCACTAGCCCTAAACCATGTATGATGCAACCCCTAAACCCGTAAACCAGAACAGGACATGGCATGTCATGCATTATGTGCCACGGTTTAGGGTTTTGGGTTTAGGGTTCCAGAACATGACATGGCATGACATGACATGCCTGATGTCACATGATACACTAGCCCTAAACCCTTAACCATGACCTCTAAACCCGAGGACCTCAACGGCCCTAGATCTCTCAACTGTTACTACGACTAAGTGTTTTTGTACACAAACCTGTATTCAAGTCATCTGAATTGATGGTTTTGCCACAAATTACAGAACGCAACTGGTTGCAATCTGTTTTTTGTGGCAGAAACCTGCAACTAAGAATCATCTCAATTCATGGCTGTCTGAGAAAACTACAGAACCCAACCGGTTGCAATCTGAGTCTTGCTACATAGAACGGTATTAGCCTTTCAAATGTATGGATTTGGTATATAGGTGGCTATAGATGGCATTGGACCGGAGTCTAAGGATGTACTACTGTGCGACTGGGGAATTTGTCTAATGCAGCTGTGATGCAGGAAGCCTGGAGGGAAGCACTTGACTACTTCTTCGGCAGTGCTATGACATCCAAGAAATTCCAGGCCGGGCAGGGGTCGGTGCAGCTTGGTTGAGAGTTAAGATTTGTCATGATTCGGAGGATGCAAAAGAACCCACGAGCACCTGGCAGAGCAGGATTTAAGGATGTTTGATGGTGCCCCAGGCTTTTGATTGTCCTGCATCCGCTCGGTTCACTGCTCAAAGAAACCGCTTGCCTTAGACTCGTCCCTGTGCGACTTCTCTCTGCAGCCTTAGACTCGTGCCTTCACGACTTCTCTCTGCAATGACGGACCTCTCCTTACCGAAGAGAGCGAGATTCGTGGAGAGGATGAAGCAGAGACCGGAGTACAAAGTCATGAAAGCTGCAGAGGCCAAGATGTGCCCTACAAATGTGCGATGCCCAACTCCGGAAGCCATGGTATACACCCCGAAGAGACCTTGGGAGACCCAGGCATGCATTTGGCGCCGGCAGATCAGGCAGTACAGGCAGACGGACGATGAGACAAAGGGTCAGATGAAAAAGGCAACGGAGGAGCAAGTGCTCTGCTTTGTTTCCTGAGATCCTTCATGGCCGAAAATTAAGCATAAGATGGTGTGCGAGTGTACAGTGCCGTCTACGCACACAAGATGACCCGGGGCTGGTGGGTGCAAAAGCAATGCTTTCCGAGACTCCAGCAGCAGTAGTAGTAGTGGGTCCATGTCGCTGCGGCTTGTGTGCAGTGCACTGCTGTGAATGCAGGACATAACTGCTTGACTGTGACAGTTTGTTTTGTCTGGGCAGGTCCGACCAATCTGCTTGCGACAGCCGATGCCCGGAGTTGGAGCAGGCGGGCCTGTAGTGCTCTGCCCCTTTTTGCATCATGACTTGTGCAATCGCCTGAACACTGACTTCCACATTGCTAGTGCTCTGCCCTACACACCCTAGCTCGTAAACCCCAACAGGAAATGATGTGTATGCCATGACATGGGCACTGAAGCCGAAACCGAACTGACTGGTCTGCATCTCTTATCCCTACCCCCCAATGCCAAGCCTGCAGCCGTACCCTCACAGTCGTTTTTTTCCATGCACACTGCAGAAGCAGAGGACGAACGGAGACAGGAAGCACACAATGATCTGAACAGTGGTTGAGTCAAGTAGAGAGAACATTCCGAACTCTAGTTGCTAATCATGGCGTGGCAATGCTTGCTCTGCACAACGCGCCGAACTTACCGGCGTGACAAGATGTGCAGCAGGTGCAGGCCAACAAAGCGAGGATGCAACAACAGGATGGTGCCGACGATTAGGTTACGGAGGAAGCTCAGTCTCGACGGAGTGACTCAGAAAAGACGGGCGGTGGACAACCATGTCGAGACTTACCAAGAGCACATAAACCATGTCGAGACTTACAAAGAGGCCCTCTTGAATCTCTTCAACGATCTGCGGGCTTTCCTGACAATGGCTGACTTGCATTCGATCATGTGCAATGCCCACAACATGCTCGATAACCTGAAGCCCAATCCTGGTGCTATACCTCCCTTCAGCAGAGAATCTGCTTTGGCTCTGGTTTTTGCTGGGATGGACTTGTCAGCCAGGGTTTCAAGTGACGACATGGACAAGTTAAAGAAAATCCTGCTGTGCAGCCTTAAGCAGAACAAGGCACGAGTGATTGCAGCGCACTGCCAGTGGATCAATGCCACGAACTTCATGAGGGGCTCACTTTTGGGGGATTGAAGATGCACAAACGATGTGTCTTTTGCTGGGGACCTGAGATGCTTCTGGGGTATTAATGAAGAAAAAAGTGAGTGCCAGGGCAGTGTTAAGCACCGAAAATCCGAAGAAACTCTTGCAATCAAATCGAAGCTGGGATGCTCCATAAACACCACAGTCACAGTCAATCCTCAGCTCAGCTCCGACTCCCCTAAACCCCCAACCCCAGCCCTTTTTCACTACGAGGCTGATGGCAGTTCCCTTGCGGCCTCCCTGCCGCTCTTGCGCAGGCCGGGTTTAGACATGCATCAACCCTCACTTTACCTGTAGTGGCTGTGGTGCGAGACATTTCTGCAGAGACCTGATCTAATTGATCTCCTGCTTTGACAGTTTCACCCTCGGACGCATACCAGCTTGCACCAGCCGGACTTCCTGCAGGCTGTAAGAAGAGCTGGAGCCTAACATCTGGCGGTGCGGTTCTTTGCAGCCAACATGTCCGCCCATGCTTGACATGTGACTTCCTGTGCATGCTGGCCACAAATCTGTACCAGGTGAGCCCCAATGCTTACGAGGCACACATGGGTGGCTAGATCATGATGTGTGTGGTCTTATTCTGGAAGCCGTCCTTTTTGGATGACGAGCAAAGTTCATTAGCGTTTTCATGTATCCGGGCCTTTCAATCTTCCGTCCACGACCGTGTGCCATGAAACAATGGCTCTTTGCAAAGGATCGTCTTGTGTGACTTCATAGGCACCCTAAACCCCAACCCCCCAACCCGAGCCGAGATGGGACCCCTAAACCCCTAAACCAGAACAGGACATGGCATATCATGCATTATGTGCCGCGGTTTAGGGTTTTGGGTTTAGGGTTCCAGAACATGACATGGCATGACATGACATGCCTGATGTGACATGATGCACTAGCCCTAAACCCTTAACCCTGACCTCTAAACCCGAGGACCTCAACGGCCCTAGATCTCTCAACTGTTACTACGACTACGAAGTTACAGGTCGCAACTGGTTGCAATCTGTGTTTTGCCACAGACGCCTGTATTCAAGTCATCTGAATTGATGTTTTTGCCACAAGTTACAGAACGCAACTGGTTGCAATCTGTATTTTGCCACAGAAACCTGTATTCAAGTCATCTGAATTGATGGTTTTGCCACAAGTTACAGAACGCAACTGGTTGCAATCTGTTTTTTGCCACAGAAACCTGTATTCACGTCATCTGAATTGATGTTTTTGCCACAAGTTACAGAACGCAACTGGTTGCAATCTGGTTTTTGCCACAGAAACCTGTATTCAAGTCATATGAATTGATGTTTTTGCCACAAGTTACAGAACGCAACTGGTTGCAATCTGTATTTTGCCACAGAAACCTGTATTCAAAATTCCAGTCATCTGAATTGATGTTTTTGCCACAAGTTACAGAACGCAACTGGTTGCAATCTGTATTTTGCCACAGAAACCTGTATTCCAGTCATCTGAATTGATGGGTTTTGCCACAAGTTACAGAACGCAACTGGTTGCAATCTGTATTTTGCCACAGACCTTGTATTCCAGTCATCTGAATTGATGTTTTTGCCACAAGTTACAGAACGCAACTGGTTGCAATCTGTGTTTAGCTACACAAACCTGTATTGAAGTC